TTGGGATCATGACAGTGGGGAGTGGGGTGGCGGTGGGAGGAAGCATTTAGGAAAGATGTCAACTTTTCATCAGTTAAAATATATTAATTCATGGTGCTTGATGTAGCTGATGCCCATGACGCTGTTCCCTGCACTCAGTGCTCCCTGGTGATCGATTCTCATCTGTTTTGTACAGGCACCATCATCACCTTCCTCCCCCATAGCTAATGATCCAAAATATGAAAAACGCTGGCTTGACACCTTGTCAGTTCCTCTGACTATGGCTCGCATCTCAAGGTACAAACCTGGAATAGAAAAATTAAGGTATGTGAACCTTGTCTAAAATGAGTAAAGCTGATGAATCGCATGTTCTTTGCCAAGTCTTAACTGTTTATAGACTGCTTTTGACGGATTCGCTATGTAAGTGTGTATCTTCTGATAAGCTTCAGCATTTGTGAAAATGCTAAATAAAATTTAATTACCAAGACAAAATGAGAAAAAGAAAACCAGCAGACTTGTGATAGGAATAAGTCTGCAATGGTACGGGGACTGTTGCTTTTTGTTTTGAAGCCGAGTCCCTAGAAGAATAAATTGTATTTTCAGTGATAAGCGATTGGAGAACCAGATTAGGAATAAGAGGACGTGCTAGTCCTTATCTGAATTACACATGATTTAAGAATAATCATTTTAACTCCATGGGCTTCTTTGCTTTAGTAACAAACCAAGAAGATTGGAGCAGTGCCAGTATTAAATCAGTGTGCACAACCTAATTAAATAATTATTTTTCAAATAAAAAATTAAATAATTTCAAAGATTTCATTCCAAACTTATAGATTTACATAACTGTTTGATATAATAAGTTGGAGGGTTTCTTTGTTTGTTTAACTCCTGATGAGTGTTATATGGTCTCTGTGACCAAATGTACCATTTAATTACCATCAAGAGGCTAAGTCAGAGCTATATGATTAATTTTCCTTCCTGAATCTTAAGGCAGATGTGTAGAAAACTGTGTGAACAATTTGCTTAACTGTCAAGAAAGGAAAAGCATTTGTTTCTGCCCCCACCATCCCAAATCAAGCATCGTCCCTGACACATAAGGGAGTCAAGGTGAAAGTGAATGATGAAGTTGTTTTCAGTAAACTTTAAGTAGAAGTTTAAGGCTAATAATGCTTTGGATGGACAATTACAATTTCAGTTTATAACACACTATTGATAGCCTTGAGAAGACTGGGCGTTCTAGAACACTTCATTGGGCTCTTGCAGAATCTCTACATGGACAAATAGGCAGGTATGCAGACAGAACTGGGTCACACTGCATTGTTTTACATCAGGAAATATGTGTAAGTGTTGTATTCCCTCACCATACTTATTCAATATGCATACTGAGCAAATAATCAGAGAAGCCAGGTTGTATGGAAAAGAATGGCAGCATTGGAATTGGAGAAAGACTTATTACAGCCTTTGATGTGCAGATGCACAATCTTGCTTTCTGAAATAGAGGAGGACTTGAAACACTTGCTGATGAAGATCAAGGATTGCAGCCTTCAATATGGATTACAAAGCAAACCAAAATCCTAACAACTGGACCAATAAATAACATCATGGTCAGTGGAGAAAATATTGACTTCAAGGATTTTGTCTTGCTTGGATCCACAATAAATGCTCATGAAAACATCATTCAAGAGATCCAACAATACATTGTATTAGGGAAATCTGCCCACGATCTCTTTAAAGTGTTGAAAATCAAGAATGTTACTTTGAGGACTAAGGTGAACCTAAGCAAAGCCATGGTATTTGCAATTGCCTCATATGCATGTTGGACAAAAAAGTTGGACGTTAAATAAGGAAGACCGAAAAAAAAAAAAAAGTCAATGCATTTGAACTATGATGTTTGCAAAAAAAATATTGAAAGTACCACGGATTACCCAAAGAACCAACAGATCTGTATTGGATGAAGTCCAACCAGGGTGCTCCATGTTATAGATCCTCGGAGATCAATCCTAGGAAAAGGACATCATTCTGTGTAAAGTGGAGGTGCGGTAAAGGAATCTCCTCGGTGAGATGGATTGGCACAGTGACTGCACGGGTGGGCTCAAACATAACAATCGTGAGAATGTCTCATTGTGCACAACAGACTCCAGGGCACCTAACACCAACCACATGTGTACAACCAGTTATTATGAATGCCCAGGAAAGGATGATTATCATGTCACAGCATTGAGTCCAAATTAGTATTTTAAAAATCGGGTTATCTTTGGGAAACACAGACCTTGTTTCATGTGCATAAAGCTAAACATTGATTAAATTTGTTCCACGTGTAAATCGTGGAAAGCAGTGGATGTATCGACAGCCAGCTCTGAATTGACGAGTGCTGGTCCTCCACTTATCTTGTGTTTGAGTATGCTGGCCAGTGCGGCCACCCTCTGTTTTTGTTTGTTTGTGGGGCAGTTTATAATGCTACACACAATGCTGCTGCATTTAATTTCTTCATGTTTTCAACATCCAAAGACAAACTAGAAACCGCCTTCATAAAGATACTGGTCATAGTAATCAGTAGTTACAAAAAATCAGTCGTTATAACTATTTTTCAGTACTATTTGATGTATGTCACAACTGACTTAAAACAGAATCATTGTCAGAACTGGACCCACTTCATTGTAAATTTTGGACGGGCTCTGTAGCAAAATGTATAAGCAATCTGTGTTCTCACTGCCATAAAACTCTCCCAAAATGTATGCAGATGCACAAGTGTTGGGGAAGAGAGGATTTAACTAAATTTGTTTCTTTGAAATAAGCAACCGGCTTACTTAGGAACTGAGTAGTAATGTGGGCATAATGTCTGTTTTGACAGGCAAGGAAATATTGTCTGGTCTGATCTCTGTCTATCAGCATGCTTGAATTAAATAGGTTCTTGAAAGATAGAGAAACTGAACTTCATCAAGCACTTACCAGCCCATTTGTCATCTAAATATGATGAAGAAAAGATGTGCTGTTTTAGCTTCTGGTTTAAAGATTAATGCTCCTCATTTCTCATATGCTGTGCCCTGTCCTCCCACTGACACAATGTCTACAGGGCATAAGATGAAATGTCTCCTACACCAGAGGAAATGATGGCGCTCTCTGGTAATTATTAACTAAATGCAGATTTGACCAAGCATTTTGGCATCTTCAAGATATTTAGAGGCATGTGGATTATTCTTGACGACAAAAGATTTTGACCTAACAAGCCATCCGTAAAGTTACCATTAAGATAAATGCAATGTGTCTTCAAAGAATTAAATAGAAAGCAAGAAGGTGTTATATTGTTTGAGCCTCTTGTTCCTATTCTGTGTGTGTATGTTAGAAACGTTTTCTAGTTCTAAAAACAAACTGATAGGTTTTTAATTTTTCACAGAATAAGATGTTGTTTTGTGAAGGAAAACAGCTTTTTCATGATTTTAAGCAGAGGGCAGTAAGGTAAAAAAAGGAAAATTAATAAATACTTTAAAACTTTAAAACCTATGTGTTTACAGGCTGAAATAATGCCTTTAGTCCCATCCTACCTGCAAGCTCCTTCAATCACATTTTGAAATAGAGGAAAAAGAAAGGAGGCATGAGCATTTTGACTCAAACAGGCAGAATTCTAATGTTTCTCCTGAGAGATGTATAGTCTGAAAAGAATAAGGAACACATTGAGAAAATGGTTCTATAGTTCTCTGGTTTTAATCTTTAACACAAAATCTGTAAACTAGCATAGGAAGAAATTTTAGACAATGTGTTGTAGTGGGATAAAAAAATACAAAACAGTAGGTTTTAAGTCAGACATGGATTTATTAACTCTCACTCTACATGTGTGACCTAAAATGTATCTCCCTAATTTATATATCTCCTGTTTTATCTTGAATTAAATTGGGCTGGAAAATTTTTAAGTCCTTTAATTTTCTGAAAGGAGCCCAGGTGACATAGTGGGTACAGGTTGGGCTGCTAACTGCAAGATTAGAGGTTCAAATCCATTAGCTGCTCCTTGGAAGAAAATGGAGGCTTTCTGTTCCTGTAAAGATTTACAACCTGGTTATATCCTCTGAGACAGATCTACTCTGGCCTGTGGAGTCTCTATGAGTTTAAATCTACTCAATGGCACAGATTGAATGAATTTTCTGAAAGTTTATTTTCAAAAGATGCTCCTAAGAATAGGCACAGATTTTAAACTAAAAAAAAAATGTGTATACTTATTTAAATTACAAAGTTAGCATGTACTTTTTGTAAGTATAACTATTTCCATTTTTCTTTGCCTCCAAAATATCAATTACCTTCAACAATTTTCTTCTGTATTTACTATTGGATAGGGTTTATCTCAGGTGCTATGTGTAACATTGCCAGATGCTGCTGTGCTGTGTAATCACTGCAGTTCAACACCGTAAATCTGCCCTGCACTCTTAGCGATAAGAGGCCCTTAGGAAAAGAGAACCAATAACTAATATGTATTGCTACATTGTCATGTACAAAGTCATTTTATTATTTATAATAAGAGGACAGGTTACAATAGAGGAACAATCCCACTTGCTTAAGCTGTCAGGATAAATATGATGATTCCTCCCTGCACACCCTCACTTGTGTCTCGGATGAGATACTTATATGGGACAGTTACACAACACCCTCCCCCACTGGCTTCTGTAAATGGTGTGGGTAGAGTTCTTCCATGAAAGGGACGCAGCGGGAGACTCCCTTTGGTCATTATCCCTCTTGTCAGGTAGGTCCCACTAGGTGAGATATAAGCTAATGCCCTTCATGCTCTCTGATCACCTTAGCGGAGGAGACAAAGACTACTTCCTCTCTCTGTGTCCTGACTTGTTGTATCTTGTTGGCTTTGCAATCAAATTCCATGTAGGGGGGGCAGGGTGTGATTGTTTTGAGGCAGAGGGAAGCCAACGGGAAGAAAAGATTATTGAAACCCAGCTGACTGGGTTGTTTGAAGGACTACCTTCTCAAATCTTTCTTGGAAATTGGGCTTTTATATAATGTATGTCACCACTAATAAAGATGAAATCATTGGATTCGCCATAAGGACACAGATTATTCCCTAAGAATTTGGTTGAGAAGACTAGCTCAAGATTAAACTAAAATAGTTATGAAAACAGAAAATGTATGCTTGATATGGATATAAACTTACTGTGTACAAAAACCAAGCTTTAAGATAAGTGCTTATGTAGGGAAAATTAATCATGCCTCGTGGTGCTTGAAAATTAGCCATAAATCATCACTGATTATTTAGCATGATAGTGTGATTTTGGTTACTGGGTTAGTTATTAATACACTTCTCTGACATGATTAGAAGAAAAGCATAG